AGAGATAACGGAAGAACACAGACAGTTGGATGATCTAGGTGGGAGAAAAGAAGAACACAAGTGGGTAGCTGAAGGGCCCCACTGGCAGGTCCCTCGTACTTCGTTTCTTTCCCCTTGTAATTTCTGTCTGTCTTATTTAAAATAACTTAAAAGGAAAACAGGTAGTGGTGGGTGGTTGGCGGGTGCTCTGGTGTGGTTTGCTCCTTCTTTCCTATTTAACATCTAGCGCTCTCATCTTTCATCCTTCGTTTTTGTGTTCGTTACTCTCTTGTATCACGTCTAATCGTCGGCACTTATATGACCTTATTGTGTTGCCAGTACTGTAGGACTCTTACTTAAACTAGACAGGAAAAAAGGTAGATTGAGACACAGAGAAGCAAGGAAGGAAGCAAACGATAAACAAGCTATCACAAGAAAGGAGAGACAACTCACCCGGAAGAGGAACTTCTCCTCTGCCCCTGACAGTCGGTTATTAACTCCCCTGAGAGCAATGGCCGTCTCCTCCTCGTCTAGCCAGCCTCGCTGCTCGTCATCAACCTGGTGCATGGTCAACATAGCACACGATTCGGACAATGGTCAGAGAAAGTGGAGTGGAAAAAAAGACTAGCTAAGCTGCAGAAATGGCTGTTTATTTTTTACGCAAGGACTTCCATAACGATCGACCACCTCAACAAATACAATAAAGAAGAGACCAAACCCTAACCCTGATCCAACCTCCTACGCCTAACATTATCTTCACCCTTACCCTTACCCTTACCCTAACCCATACCCCTAACCCTACCCCTAACAACAAACCCTAACCCTCTTTTCTACCCTGTTTTATAGTGGTCTCGCGTTACAGTCAGCATTCCTCCCATTTTTACTGTACATAACACGGTACGTATAACAAAAGAGATTGTCACGTTTTCATTAAATGTTCTGTAAGAATAAGAGTTTAGCAATATCTTGGAGTTTTTGCCTTTTCTTGAGGATTGTTGTATATAGAAAGCGTTATATCCACACAACCTGATGATATGTTAATGAGAAGGGAATCAGCTCATTATAATATGCAATGGTTACCTCCGACGCATACAAACACACACATACACGCACAAACACACAAACGCACAAACACACAGATGCACCCACAACATGTATACACACAAAATATACACACATAATACAAACACACACATACACACACACACACAAAACACACATACACACACACATATACACACACACAAACACACACATATAAAATATAAAAATAAGCAACAGCCAACATCTCCCAGTACTTACGGCTTCAAAAGCCTGTCTGTACATATCCAGACTGCCTTGAGGGAAGATGCAATATTTGGCCAGGAAATCGTCTGTAAATGTAATGTAAAGAAAAAAATAACAATAAAATAAAGCACGCAGCACCGGTTCATAAATAGGTATTGTGTCTCTGTCCAACTCTGCAAAGCCTGTATGTGCTTATCTGTAACTCAAACTCAAACTTTTAAAGTCAAGCTTTGCCTTGCCCAAATGGTTCTCCTTATTTCAAACTTTATCATAAATATTTAAATTTTACTCGATGTGCACTATTTTTTGTAGCGGAACGTTAGTAATTAGTAACGTTCCACTTTGTCTTTGCTTTTGTGCGTTATTGATTTATGTTCATTATTTGAAACCTGCTCATAGTAGACAGAGCTTCAGGTCCCGAATGGTTCTTACACATCATACACACACACACACACACACACACACGCACACCTACAGCTCTCGACTATCATTGAGAGGATTGTCCACCACCGACTGATGGATCATGATGAAGAGCGGGGAGTAGGTGAGGAAGTCAAACAGATCCATGGAGTGCAGGTGTCCCAGTTTCTCCTTCACGTCCTCCTCGTGTCGTCTGCTGATCCCCCCACTCCTCAGCTCCACAATCAGCTGGTCGATAGAGATGCGCTTCGTGTCCGGACCCACACAGATCTCCCACAGATTCTAAATGCAAAACAAAACAAAAATTTTCCACAAAAAAAACCCCTCCGAAACCCCCCCCCCCCCCCCCCAAAATCAAAAACAAAAAATTCAAAAGAGAAATACAATACAATGCAGCCTCTCTATTTAGATTTTTTTTTGAGGGGGGGGGGGTTACGGTGCTCTAAACTGCATAAAGTCGTCTCAAAGATCGTGTAGTAGAGTATCTTTGGTCATATGAGCGCCCGGGACACAATAAACTTTCAGTTGGTAGGAAATTTTGAATTTTGCCCGGGTGGCGGCCGTAGCCCACTCTTCTTATCGATTTTAAACTACCAAGGGATCTTTTAGCCTCTCTATAGCTATAACGACGTCGTCGGGACCAGAAAAAAATGTCATTACAGAGAGTTGTTGTCTGGCCCTATAGAGAGGCAACCAACAATTACTTACTAATGATGTATGATATA